CCTCACCTGTCCGCAGGCCCGGGCGCCGCCCGCCGCCGTCGCCGCCGAGGGCTCGTCCCTGGGGCCGGCGGGGCGTGAAGGGTGCGGCCGCGGGCGCCGGGCCGGTCGGCGAGGCCAGGTGATGGTGGGCCCCTGTGTCCCTGAGGACAGGGGACCCCGAGAGCGGCCGCGCCCCCGCCCTCGCCCCCGGGCTGCCCCGGGGAGGGAGGCCCGCTGACATCAGCCCCCGGGAAGCTGGGCCGCCGGGCGCTGGCCCGGGCCCAATCGGTGCCCTGAGGATGCGGTGATGGGGACCCGCTCTCCCCCGGGAGGGGCGCCGCCTGCGCTGGGGACCTGGGTGCCGGGGACGGGCGGCAGGATGCTGTCCGAGCAAGCCCAGAAGTGGTTCCCGACCCACGTGCAGGTCACGGTGCTGCAGGCCCGAGACCTGAGGCCGAAAGGCAAAAGTGGCACCAATGACACGTACACGATCATTCAGCTGGGCAAGGAGAAGTACTCCACCTCGGTAGCCGAGAAAAGCCTGCAGCCCGTCTGGAAGGAAGAGGCCTCCTTCGAGCTCCCCGGCTTGCTGGTGCAGGGGAGCCCCGACAAGTACATTCTGGTCCTCACACTGATGCACAGGTCCCTGGTGGGGCTGGATAAGTTTTTAGGGCAGGTGGCCATCAACCTCAATGACATCTTTGAGGACAAACAAAGAAGGAAAACAGAGTAAGTTGTGCCATTTATTTGGAATTTGGGGGAGCTTCGCTATGTCTTCCTTACGGATTTTCTGTTCTTGGAAATTATTGGTGTATCTGGGGCATTGGTTTTAGGACTACAGTATATGACCCAGTTTCAAGCACCGTAGTGGCATGACTTGGAAGTAAAAATAGCCCTTGTGAAGAAACAGTTTTTAAATGGCGCCTTCAGAGGGTCCCTTTACTCTCATTTGTGCGAAGTGTTCATCTTAGATGATTGAGTATGTTGCACTGGATTGTCAGTATAAGAAGACTGGATCACAGTGTTGACCAGCTAAAACAACACGTGGGTAAATGGTTGTCTTTCAACATTACACATTTCCAGAAGATGGAATAGCAGAGAACTAAACCTGCCAATATAATGTCATATATCTGTGTCGAACTCTGAAGCTGCTAAAAGATCAATGATCAAATTTAGAACTCAGTATGTCATTTCAACATTATAATCACAGTGGCCTTTATTTGAGTGCAACCATTTTTTTTATAGTAAGAACGTCTTAGTGGTGCCTAAAGCCATTCAAAGAGAAAAAACATCCTCAACTTGAACACATTAACATTTTCCTTTGAATTTCCAAAATACGGGAGCTGCTGTATTACTTCAGAATTAGTTATGCAAAACCAGTGTGTTTAGATCATATTAAAGATTATATTGGAGACAATGATTAAATTCTTGTGATGAAATGATGTAATGACACCTTCCATGAAAATGTGGCTTTTGATATATGACTTTCGAGCTTAGGCTAAATATATTCTAATTTAAAAAGCCATAATATAAGTTAACACTGGGATGTTACGTCTTACATTGAAAAATAGTATGTTTTCAGAGATAGGTATATTTACCCCTTCCTCAAACATAACTTTTCTGTTCTGAGAGAACATTATAATTGATGGAATTAATGAGAGATCAACATAGGTTGAATTTATGAGAGGAATTGAAATTTAACAAAATAGCCTTGCTGTTTATTTCAGTGATAACTGAAATTTACACTTTTAGAAACTTTTTCATAATGGTAACTTTCTTGACACTTATGTTAATTTCTTATTTTAAAGCAACCAACTCTTGCTTTTGCCTATGCGTTTCTTCCTGCAAGCTTTTCTTGATTGGAATTTTTATTTTTATTTAAAAAAGTTTTCCATCAGATCTTGACCTAAGATTTAATGCACAGGGTAAAAGGGTGGAGAGATAAGAAATACTAGGCATGTAAGACAAACAAAGGTAAATATTTAGATTAGTTAAGGATATGAAAACATTGTGAGAGAAAGGGTATTTAAAAGGATAAGGTTGAGTATATATCAATGATTTCAATAAAACTGTTTGATACCTACAAAGTGGCATTTAGTTTTCTCTGAGGGATTTATCAAATTTAAATTGAAAATGGATAATTATCAAATAGTTTGTTTCAAATTACCAATTTTGGATGAGACTGTATAATATTCAAAGTGTTTTGAGTGTAAACTTGTAAGTATATTGTAACTTCAGATTTCATACTGCATTGACAGTACTTCTCCTGCGATGAATGATGTATTACAGGCCTTCCTCAAATGTAAATTTGCCAAGTGAAAGTAGGCCCAGCTGTGAACCCAGAGATTCTGAGGATGAAACAAGCTTTTCAAGTTTCTCCTTGTTTTACTCCTTATTTTTGGCAACATCACAATTATAAAACATTTCGCTGTAAACAGTCATATTGTAGTCTCCCTATGGAAATTCTCTATTGGCTACTATATAAAATTGGTTAGAACTTTTTTGGGGGAAATGCTTTAAAATGTTATCAACAAGGCTTGCGATGTTATTGCATTCGAAGTGATTTTCATGTTATTAAATCCCTAACATTTTCTTTCTTTGTGGATAAATAGGGACTACATATTAGATGAGGTATCTTTATTGGTAATATTTCTAGATTTTTAATATATTTAATAGTTTCCTTTTGCAGCACAGCTGTGCATGTGGCACAGTAAGAGACAGACTTGAGTCACTGGTGTATTGCAAGAAAGATATTTAATATTCTGCACGTTGCTGAACCTTGTCAGCGTATTCCCAAGTGCTTTTTAGAAAACTGGTATGAATGATGAAGGTTACCAGCTGAGTTAGAAGACCCATGGAACTGCTGGGTGTGACACTTTTTACTCTTGACACTGAAGACAAGTATTTACAGCTTGTCTTGCAGTTGTGTCATGATAGGCAAAGAAGTGTGATAGCTAAAACTATTATTTTACTTATTTTTATACCTTGAAGTTAAATACCTTTTTTTTTTTTTTTTTTTAAGGAGGGTTGGGGGAAGGGGCCTGTGCCTGTACACTTTGAGCGGAGCATGGAAAAAGAACTGTACCTCCCCCTTTCATGGGTGTCTGGGTTGGTTCTGGCACAAGATTTAAGGAAATAATACAATGTTTAATAATAGAATGGTAAAATTGTTCATGCTGTTATGTAATATCTATTGATTTTTTTTTTTTTTTACAACAGAAGTATAGAAGTGGGTGATGTTGATTTTTTTTTTTATGCTCGTGAAAGTAATAACAATCAGAGTCCCCAGAGTTAGGTATGACTCAGACACATGCCGATTTTAGGACTTTTGTGTGTGTCTCCGCAGTGCACCTGCGTCCTGGCCTCTGGCACCCTTACTGCCAATCTTGTCCCATTTCTGACCACACAGCACCAATTGCTTGGGAATAGTTCCCACATGTGTGGTGGTTTTTGAACATGGACCTGTGCCCACTAAAAATTGAACAGAGGCCATATACAGTTTAAATCCAGCACTCAAGAGGTGAAAAAAATCAGCCATTAATCCACTAAGCCCCAAATGCTGTGTCTTCATTTTATCTGTTTGAAGCCTGGGAAAACAAGTTTTATCTCTGGGGTGATTTTTGAAGGTCTCATTAAGACTTCCCTTTCAAAACAAAGCACCTAAAGTTATTTGTCATGCCTCTATTTTAAATTAGTATATTTAAAGTTCTTAGCAGTATTTTGTGGAGGGGATAGGAGGAGGCTGGGGAATACTGTATTTACAGATTGTATTCAGGCACTGACTTGCTTTATTTTTTAAAGCTCATGTAAGTCTTTAGTGTTCCCTACAAAAAAGCAAAACAATGCAGAACCCACACACATGCACACACGGTGTATTGTAGCTTGGTTGTTTTAAAATACCATTCTAGAAATAATTCAGTTTACATTTATGTAGTGCAAGGTGAGCTGAGCTGCCTTCATGAAGCTTACACTCTGGTGTAGGATGCCTTGCCTTCTTTGGCTGTCAATCTCCCGATTAAATAGAGTGCCCGTAACATATGGCCAGCTGTGCATTTAATCTTATTAACATATATGGTTCATCAAATATGGAAGAACTTCTGTTTTCATGCAGATGTTATTCATCAGCCTTGGATATTTTCTTTATTGACTTTAACTCGACATTGGAAGTTACTTACATTCTCTGTGCCTCATTTTCCTCATCTCTGCAATAAGGATATTAAAGTAGAAGATTTATTTGTCTTATTTGTAAAATTCTATGAGTTTTGATGACCTTTACCCCCTTTCATTTATTGGGTTATTGTTTTACTTTTTTCTCTGTTTGCTTTGACTTGTTATACATGTAGAAATCCTATATGCTTGGTTTATTTTTGTTTTGTTTTTGGTATATTTCTAACAAAGTGTGCTCACCTATTTTCTGTAAAGTTTGAGATGCTACTGAGTATTTCTGCAGTGTCATTCATCAGAAGTGTTTCTCCCCCATTGAAAATGATTCTATTTTCCAAATTCTAAGTTAGCAACTGGGTATCTAACCTTTTCTCATTTCCAGACTTTTCGAGTGCCCAAGTTTGTGTTCAAGGTTCTGTATTCCACAGAGTTTATTGCTGTCAGTTCTAGCCTCTACATCTTCAGATTTTGCCATTTGCCTCAGATAAAGGATTTTTCTCAGTTTAGGGTATCCGGTTGATGCTTTCTATTATGAAATATTCTTTTATTTTAAAAGTTGCTTGTTTGGGTGCACCTAGATCTTAATTGGCTGAATTGCTTCAAGTTAATTAAGAAAATATTTCTCTTGCATGTGACTTGCTAAAGTGTAGCTGGGATGTAGGTTCTGTGCCAGTTTTCTCTCCTGCCTGGAAAGACCAGTCTTCCACGTGCTGTACAGTAAATATACCTTCTTCTGGCATATCCTGTTAGTAACAGTGAGAGAAAGCACTAATGTAAAATTAGACCAGAGCGCCTTTGTAGCTAAGAAAATTTGTTACACTTGATTAGAGCTGGGTTTAAATAATAACCCGTCTGCAGGAATGGATATTGTGCTCCATTGTTAAGTAATGTGAAAACATTGTAGAAACTCTTCTAGACTGGATTTTGCAGTTTTTTGGCTGTTTGCCCTGTAGAATGATCACTGTGACACTGACAACTGGAGACTTTCTCATGGGTAAAACTACTATTGAACAAAAGCAAAATAAACTTTGTTTCTTATACATTTTAACAGTGGGCAATGTCACACGGCGAAGTGACTAATAGCATAAGATTTGGCTCCAATTAAAATAATTTTTATTCAGTATTGTCACAGTAGCAATAGTAAATGAAACAAAGATTCTAACAGGAAGCATTTAAGCTTTCTATTTTCTTCAGAAACTATAAGATTTATTACTATTTGTCACTTCCTGCATTTTATTCATTTTGCATTTTTTACTCAGGAAAGGGCTTTGACCCATTTTATATTCATCTAAATTACATCATATGCAATTTTCGTGATTAATAAACCACATGTAGTGGGCTCCAGTATTAACAAAATTATTTTAATAGTTTTTATGGAAGAAATTTGGGGATGGAACTGTTTATTACTTTATTAAAAATGTGGCCATTTATCATTTTTATAGTGCCTCAAAATGGTTTGTATCAATGAATTCTTTCAAAGTCTGTACTTGAGTGTCTTTTAATTTTAAAAAATGTTTTTAGGCCCTTAGCAACACTTACCCCAGGTGGAAACATAACAGCTCTCATAGGTAAGAATTTTTTTATGTGAATGATTTTCAAATCGTGAAAGAAAAGTTTATCTGAAATCCTTCTCAAACTTACTGGAAACCTACTTCTTCAGTATACATCACATCCAGAGATAGTGGTAAGTTTTTAAAAATTGAACAATGAGTAAAGCCAGTAGTACTTTGTCGGACGGAATCTCCTCCGTTGCATAGATTACCTTCGTGTGCTTTACCCGAGAAGATATTTGTATGTAACCACGCTTGATGTCCTCTCTTCATTACATGTTACAACCCGGTTTTTCCTTCTCTTTAAGGTGGTTTAGATTAGAATCCAAACAAGGAAAAAGAGCCAAAAACAGGGGTGAGATAAAGGTCAATATTCAATTCATGAGGAACAATATGACAGCAAGTATGTTTGACTTATCAATGAAGGATAAAACAAGATCTCCTTTTGCAAAATTAAAAGATAAGATGAAAGGTAGAAAAAATGATGGGACCTTTTCTGATACGTCTTCTGCAATCATTCCAAGTTCTCACATGGCGGATGCCAATTCTGAATTTTCAAGTGGTGAAGTACAGATGAAATCTAAACCAAAAAAGCCTTTCCTCCTGGGTCCTCAGCGCCTCTCCTCAGCTCACTCCATGTCTGACTTAACCAGGGCCCACGTGTCTTCTGAGAAACTGAAGCCTGGCACCATTGGCCAAACGCATCTTCTCGGACGCCAGATAGAGTCCTTTGGAGCAGTGCCAGAAAGTGGTAGGTGACATTCTCCCTGAGTGTATCCTCAGTGGCCTGAAATACCCTTCTTAGTTTTTTAAAGTTTAACTTCTAAAATTAAAAAATAAAAATTACAGTTTCTTGGTAGTATTTTCTAAATTTAGTGATCAAATATTTATTGAATACCTACTATCCTCAAAATGGGTAAGTTTATTAAGGACAGAGCCTGTCTGCATTCAGTATTAGATGATGTTAAAAAAAAGCGAGTCCCAGTCACTTTTCATGGCCTGGCTTCTTTTTTTTAAATAATTTTTTTTTATTGGTTGAATGATTTCAGAGAAAGAGAGGAAGGGGGGGCGGGGAGAGAGAAACAGAGAAACTGATTTGTTGTTCCGCTTGTTTATGCATTTATTGGTTGAATCTTGTATGTGCCCTGATGGGGGATCAAGCCCGAAACCTTGGTGTGTAGGGACAACCCTCTAACCAACTGAGCTACTGGCCAGGGCTTGGCTTGATTTTTTTCTGTTGCTTCTCCTGTCTGGGAAACCTGAAGCATAAATGAATATTCCATTTAATCAGAACGTTTCTAGAAAAAAACCCATGTTCAGAAGTAAGCAAGTAAATTTAATACTAATGATGAAAAAAAAGTCTTTGAGAATTTATGGCACTATCCTGCCAAGCACAACCTCTAGCTTTGACATTATAGTCTGTTTTTTTTCCTTCTGAGGTGAGTAAATTCCTGATTGTCTAGCAATATACTAATTATTATTAGCCTACATACTCCAGATTGCTATACCATAGCATTTGAGGCTTGTTTTCTTTGGTTATTTTAAAGGTTAAATCTTTAAATAGCTAATTGCGCTCATTCTAAAAGCAGCAGTATGCACACAGAATGTGTCATAGTGTGATGTAATGTGTGACTGATTATGTACTGACTACAAAATTATTTGCAGGAAGTCTCAAATCTCCACACAGAAGAACATTAAGCTTTGATACTTCTAAAATGAACCAACCTGACCGCAGTGTGGATGAAGGTGCACCGTCTTTCGGAAGACAAAATGACCCATTTACAAATGTGACGGCTTCATTACCCCAAAAATTTGCAACACTGCCAAGGAAGAAAAATCCATTTGAAGAAAGCAGTGAATCCTGGGATAGCAGCATGACTTTATTTTCAAAATCAATTGAAGTAAGAAAAGAAAATAAAAGAGAGAAAAGGGAGAAAGTTAGCCTGTTTGAAAGAGTGACGGGAAAGAAAGATAGCAGAAGGTCTGATAAACTCAACAATGGGGCAGCCGATAGCCCCAGTGACTTGAAATCACCTAATGCGTTTAGTGAAAATCGTCAGGACTATTTTGATTATGAGTCAACTAATCCGTTTACAACAAAATTCAGGGCTTCAAATATAATGCCATCTTCAAGGTAAGCTTACCATGGGGTAAGTTGTGCTATTTGAGAAATATTGTACTTGAAAGTATCAAATACCCCTTTTAAAAATACTTGAATATTCTGAATTCCTTTTATTTAACTTGAAAAAATATTTATCTTATTTTTCTAATTAATTATGGAGTCAGACAATGTTGCAAACATCTTTGGATTTGAACTTTTTATCTCAGAAGGATGAAAGATTCTGATTCCTTACCCTAGTTTATTTCTACTTAGTGGGCCAATAGCAGCCCATGGGCTATTCTGTAAGAAATACTGGCTCAGGTATTAATGGTTTTCATAGTAGGTGTTAACTGTCCTCATCAAATTGCTGTGTAGAAGTAGTTTTATTTGTGAATGTTTATTGGGATTCAGGGACCCTTGTTGGGCACTATAAATACGTCAGAAAACATCAATATAATCATTTATAGTCATAGAAATAATCACTATCATAAAGATTAGATTTGCAAAATCTGAGTTCTCAGTTGTGTAATGGTACTTTTCCCATTTCTTAGTGCAAGTTGGAACTATACACATTTAAGATTATGGATTTTGCAGAAGAGAAAGATGGAATAGCCAATTAAGGAACCTTAAACAAAGAATAAGATGAATTTATTGTGATTTTAAGCAGTTATAGAAGTGCATGGTAGAATGTTTGCCGTGTAACATAGAAGTTTTTCCTGGAGGCACTAATGTATACAGACCTCAGTGGGAATCCTGGCTTAGCAGCTCTATGACCTCTGTAAACCTCAGCATCCCTACCTTTGAAACAAAGAAAATAATTCCTACTTGGTAGGACTGAGTGATGATAAATGATAAAGTATAAGGTACAAAGCCAGGCCCCAAAAAGGGAACCCATAAATGGTGGCTGCTGTTATGTTATATATTCTGTTGTGTCATATTTTATTTAAACAGTGCTTAATTTTGTCCCACTATAAATATAAACTACAGCATTGATGGTTAACCCCTTAGACCAGTGTTTCTCAACCTTCCTAATGCCGCGACCCTTTAATACAGTTCCTCATGTTGTGGTGACCCCCAACCATAAAATTATTTTCGTTGCTACTTCATAACTGTAATTTTGCTACTGTTATGAATCATAATGTAAACATCTGATATGCAGGATGTATTTTCATTGTTACAAATTGAACATCATTAAAGCATAATGATTAATCACAAAAACAATATGTAATTATATATGTGTTTTCCGATGGTCTTAGGCAACCCCTGTGAAAGGGTCATTCGATCCCCAAAGGGGTCGCGACCCACAGGTTGAGAACCGCTGCCTTAGACTGTGCTCTCCCACCTCTCTCTATATAATCTAACAATTCACTGAAACATGCATTTAAACCTTTCAGAGGGAAGTGTGTATTTCTTTTATTTTCTTTCAGTAATGGGTATTTGCTGTGGCTTTAGAAAGTCTTGGTCAGTTTTCTTTATAGACTATAGAAAAAAGAAATTTATTTTTATCTTATGGCATTAATATTTTAATAAGGAGTCCATAATTTTGATATGCTATTCTTAAATATTTTATTTTGGGATTTTACATAGTGTACTTTACATATTGCATTAAGTCCTAAATTATGGGGGTAAATAGAAATCCATTTGCATTTTTCCCCTTCCTTTATTGAACTTTTTTTGAAGAAGATTGTTGAAAACAACTGTTTAAGATAACTTAGAGATTGGGTAATTTATATTATTTTAGAGTCAAAGAAAATGGGAAATGGTAGGAAAATAATGTTTTCAAATTATGGCAGCATATGGGAAAATAGGTACCCTCGAAGCTACACTGGCCCTACACTTGGGCTATTATTACGTGGACGGCCATGGGTTTTAAAAGTGAGTGTGGCATTTTGCCAGATTTAGGCTTTGTTTTTGGGTTACTTCAATATTAATGCATTTTCTGTACAAATGAGAGCTGTTTCATGTAATATGTGTAAAATGATTGCAAGCATATAAAAACCAATAGATTTTAAAACCTTAAGACTTCCTCTTTTTTATATTCTCTTATCTTCATATTCTGTGAGATGCCAGAATTGAGAACAGAAACATTTGTAAGTTCTTGGGAAGTTACTCTTTTTGTGTCAAAAATCACCTTCGTGGTAAATTTAAAACATTTACAATGAAGTAGCTCTAATGAATAAGATTGATATAAACAGATCGAGGGAGCGCATGCCATTCCCATTGGGGGGGAAGCAGCTTTTCCTCGTATGGAATTTGGAAGGATATGGTGGAGGTAGTTTTGCCTTTACCTGTTTATCGTCCAGTATCACCCCTCAGTTAGAGGGGACATTTTACATTTCTCACATTAGCATCTACAACAAGTGCCTTTTGAAGCTATAGACTCCCATCACTAGGACGCACGCTGTGCATTTTTCCCCAGTAGTGCTAAGTAGATCTCTACAGAGTTTCCTGGACTCCTGTGACAGGTTTGTGGGGATGGGGGCAGAGTTAAGGGTAAGATCTGTAGCCGTGGCACTGAGTTTGTTCTCTGGATCGGCTGGCTCACCTGTGATGGCAGGTGCACGAGCACTGTGTTGTTACCCTCTGAGTGAGTCATGCCATTACAACAGGAGAAGTTTCTTTATGCCAAAAATTTCTAAAGTACCGAGAAACACTTCCTTAGAAGTTCGAGTTTTCATTTCTTAGTGTCAGTAAAATCCACCTGAGGAAATCACCTTGTAAATCACAGAAATCCTGCATTTTGCTTCTGTTTCTGGAATAGATCCCAGGGCCTTGCATAGAACTGATAAGGAAGTGAGTTAGGGTTTTTGTGGGGTTACTTCAACAGAACAGGGCTCTTTGAACCCCTTTCCCTGAGGTGACTCAGTCTCCATCCTCTTCAGGCCCTTCTTGGAGGCCCCTCCTCCTGGAGGGAGGTAGTGAACCTGCAATGCAGACTTTTCCTATATGTCTGACTTGCCCTGGCATCACGTTCCCTACCAGACCAGTCCCTCTGCCCCCTCCCACCACCATGAACAGCTGGAGGGCAGCGCCTGCATTTCATTCATTTTTCTGCCCTTAATCTCCAGCATGATGCTTGGTAGGTAGTGGGTGTTAGAAAAACATTTTTGAATAACTGAACATAGAACAGACCGATTTCCTAAAAGGCTACTTCCATTCCCGTAGTCTGCTTGGCGCTCAGTGTGGGCTGCGAGGATCTTTCTGATAGGCCGAAAACGGATCCATAAAGGCAAATGTGTGCATTTTTATGCACAGCACAACATCATTAAAAATCTAAGAATTTCTAAGGACTATTGAAATTTAATATTCATACCCTAAATAGCACATTTCTGGAGCTTATCAGGAACTCTGGATTAGTTAGGATAGGTTATCACCTGTAATAAACATCCCCAGGTGTCAGTGGCTAATCACAGTAGACGTTCATTGTTCATTGTTGTCACAGCCTAATTCACTAAGATGGGGATGATAGGTGGGTGCTCTGCTCCATACAGTCATTCAGGAGCCAGGCTCCTTCTTGTGATGCCCTCCTTTCATACATGACCTCCAGGGTCATGCAGCAGGGAGAGAGAGTGGAGGATCATGTGTGGGACATTTTTATGTGCCAGGCCTGGCAGTGGTGTGCATTGTTCCCATATGTCCCATTGGCCAGAGCCCAGTCCTGGCCCAACCTCTGTACAGCCAGTTAAGAAATCCGGTTTAGCTATGACTCTGAGGAAGCTGTATTGGGTGTGGGGAGTTCACAGTACTGTTTGCTGGGGATGCCAATTCTAAGAAGCCTGCATGCTAACACTTGGCATGCTGCAAAACTCGTACTACTTGCACAGGTACGTGAAAATACAGTTGGAATTATCAGCTTATTACTGACATTCAGTTGTTTGTGTTTTAAAATTGCTTCTACTCTTGCTTTTTAATTATAAATCACAGGTAGTTTAGCATCATCAGTAGCAACTAATTTGGAGTATGATTAACCCTACAATTTGTAAAGCCCTGCTTTTTTGCATCAGCAGTATATTGTTTTCCAAAAACAAATACACCTAGATGTTTGTGATACCATTTTCAATAATGTGTTCACACCCATTTTTTTCTTTAACACTGGGCTGTTTTTCCACTGAAAAGTGGAAGTGGGTGGTGAGTTCACCAAAGGACATCCCAGATATTTTTTTTTTAACAGATACACCAATAGACCCCAATAGATAGGAACATGTGACCAAGTTCTGGGTTCTTGAAGAATTAGTGGAAGAGATGTACAGCATTTCCAGGACTTGTCCATGAACACCTCCTCCACCCTCTTCCACATTGTCTCTCTTTCTCCATACCTAAGCTGGGGCTTGGCAAACAAGACTCAGGGCCCCCATCTGGCTTGCTGCCTGTTTCTGTGAGTAACATTTTCTTGGAGCACATCTCACCCAGTTGTTTATGGCTACTCTTATGCCAGTTGAGTAGTATAGACTGTTTGCCCTGCATATTTATTACAAATGTTTATTATTTTTTTTAACAGAAATAGTTTTTTGAACCCTGTGCTAGCTGAATGGAAATCTTTGAGGAGGGCAGATTCATAAGATAGGAGCAAGCTGTGTCCCTGAATGCATGGAAGGCCACTAACCAAGGATACCCATTGAGCATTACCTGAATGATGAACTCTCAGAGTATTAAATTACTGCAATTTTTATTTACTTATTATAGCACTTAGCATTATTATTATTTGGCGCTTAGGGCACAAGAGTCGTAGTACCTTTTGTTCTGTTCAAGAAAGCCTCCTTCAAAAAAGCTAAGAACCACTCATTTGCAACACCAAACTCCGCTTTCTATTTTTCAAGGCTTACTGTATTTTAGGCGTTTCTCAATTTTGCAACTTTTCTTTTACTATTCGTCCTCTCTGTTCTTGGGAAGTTAATTTTCTTACCTCTCTACCCTGAGGCCCTTAAACATTCCCATCTCCATTCTTTGGCTCAGCGGTAGAATGTACTCTTAACCCACCTGAATGTCCTAAGCCTGTCTATCCTTGATGTTAAAAACTCTTCAATTCCTTTACT